AACTGGATAACTACCTAACACTAAAAAACCTTTACAGAATCGTTTTGTTTCGATTGCGTAGAGTGAATGAGGACAGACTAATATCTAAGCATCTATTTTTCTGTATTGTTCAATCCTCCATCTGCACTTCATACCACTCTATCTCCTCTAAGAGTTCACATTTAGATTGAGGAAAGCAGCAGTCATTCCTTTTCAAATAGTCAGATCGCTTCATGGGTGGAACAAACATTATTCCTTCCGGTGTGGCAAAATAGGATTTCATCCCTGAGTCATGCACATACCAGAATGAGATTTAACCTGCTATTTCCAGCCTCTGCATTTGTCGTTACTTACGTAGCCACTTTGTATTTTATGATACATCGCGTAGTAGGCCAGTAAGCATTAAGCGAACTCCTCCAAGGGATTATGTCACGTGCTATCATGAACCACATATGGTGATAATGTTTGTTTTATTTGATTCTTCCTTCATTTTTGGCCACTACTTGGCCTATCTCCTGTGGTGACACGGTGAGGTTTCTACGTTGGTTAGTGTGTCAACGCGAGGCGAAATGTCCACCATAATGGCATATGAAAATGGATCGAAAAATGAGCACAGGCGGTGATGAATTGTTTGGTTTTAGACCACACCAAAGTGCGTGACCAGAGTGGGCTGAAGTGCCCACCCTAACCACACATATAAATGGCCTAAGAGATTGAATCGAAACGGTGATGGCATGCATGCCTTTAAGACAAGCGCACACATTGCCAGATGAGCATGGAAATGCAGGTGAAAACTTTAATAGAAATGTTCCACATGGAAGCAGGTCCCCAGCAGACGATTACAATCGAATGACCGTATTATATTAACTGAACACTTGACTGTTACCTTATCGCCTTAAAATCTTCTGCAGCCCTTACTCTGTTTTAATGTTTCCTTCTGTGGTGGAAATGGTAACATGACTGTACAATTCTGATCATATCGGAAAGGGAACGTCTCGTGAAATTGGGAATGTACATTATTATCATTAGTAGTAGTACAACGATGAGGTAAGGTAAGCATTACCGTATGGATCACAGATCTAGCTAATTTGCAGTGAAAACACTGAACGCTTGGTCATGTTTGATCACCGGTGTTTGCGGAACACCGCTCATATCTAGTGGGAACACCGGGTGGGCAATGCTGAGGTCCGCCAGCTGGTTTTTGACAAGATTTCCGGTGCATCACTCGAGTGTTCGCTGAATGTTAACTGCATGTCAGCTGTATGACCATTGACCGGCTTCATCGGGGTGCGTTATACGTTTTGCCTGCAGCAAGATGGGCGAAACCGCAAGGTGGCCAGTCCATGACGTGGCATAAAGGCATGATGAAATTGACTGAGACATTTGGTCAAGCTGATGGATGCCCTCTTCGTGGGTATATATATATATATATATTTGCAAAAGTCTGCTAACAGACATAATGCCATCAGAAACCATGGGTTTCAAACGAAGGTACAGAAACAGTAGAATAAAACACAACACAACAATGTCCATGGTTTCCTCAGAGGGCGAGATACTACCCGGTTGCCCAAGCCGAAGTAGGGTGTTGACTTAGGGGACACCACCCCGAGCCTTTGGCTGAATAGCCTGCTCGCAAGGCAGCGGAGCGAATTCAGGGAATCGCGCCCATTGGGAGCCGGTGACTGATTGCTCAGTTCATACGCCTTTCGTTTGTTCCTTTGTCAAACAGGGGCCCAATGCTCCCCAGAAGTACAGCATATGGTTGCTGGAATACAATGCTTCGCCAGGATGAAGCAAGGGGCAGTGACTTTATTTAGTGGCGAGTCACGTCCGCCACGTCAGTGTTGTTAAACGGACATATGTGGCTTTTTATAGGGAGAACGCTTGCCAGGCGAAAACCCACCACGTCCTGGAACACTGCCGCTGAACCATTTGCTGGAACGGGAAAATCCCGAACCACCCAGCTGGCACCACGAGGAGGTTGTTCGGCAAGCCAGCCCCTCTTCGTGGGTGGGGGTCTCGGGGTGGTCTACACCAGTGTCCAAAGTAAGGCCCGCGTTAACATTTCAACTGTCCCGCGGCATCATCATGAAATATTAACTTAGGCTTGGATTTTTTCGTACCTGTGTAATTTTTGGTAATATCTTACTGTCAGACTGAATATGGCCGAACATATTTTAATCTCACGAAATGTGGCCCTTCTTGCAAAATGTTTGGACACCCCTGGTCTGCACCAATGGTTGGAGACCGTTTCAGACATGGCGCAGTCACGAAGTCAGTGGCACCCCTGCATTCGATTTCTTTCATCTGATTAGTTTAACGCACTTCCTTGATTCCATTTTCTTTACATTCCTTATCACGTGATCTTGATGAACGTAGACGGTGAAATAGAAGCAGAGAACCGATAACTGATGAACCACAATCCGTCACTGAGGCGAGAGAGATAAAATTGCCAAGTACATGAAAAGTAGTTAATAGAAGACATAGTGAAGTGAAGAAACCAAGACAGTCAACGGGAATATATAAGACCGAGGATGAGAACTACGACAGCGCAAAGATAAAAGTTTTTTCATTTAACAACTTGATTCTCCAGGCTGGATCTACATGCAACGTGCAGTACAGTGTTAGGTTGAAAGCATGAGTAAGGTGCGCTACTTACAAGTAACTGATGCTGACATAACGGGTTTCCAAAACTGACCTGCGGCACAACTGAAGCAGATAAACACCACTCGTTAGAATTGCTGCAGACACATAAGACATAAGATCATAAAACGATAAAAAATCAACCACAGAGTTTCTCACCGACTGATTTCTTCCTTTCCGACACAGCCATAGGCATCGGGAATGAGAACTGCGCCGTCACCAACCTCGTAATAAACCGGAGTGTTAGAAGGTCCGGACTGACCGCCGTGGAACGCAGCATCCAGCAACCAACGTAATTGACTGCTGGTGCTCAAAGACCATCTAGATGCATCAGCAGCGAGATAAAGAAAATCGGGCAAACAGTAAGTGGTTTTTGACACCGAAGTATTCCTCAACCTAGGGAGAAGCAAAGGCCTTAGCAGCTGCTTGCCAGGAGCGGCTTGCCTACAGGCCAAACGTAAACGCCAAAGTTTCCCAAGAGAACGGACACCGGGGATTTCAGAACGCTTCAAATCATTTCTGTCGCTCCCAGGAACATGCAATAACTTCTTTTCAGTAACAAGATTCCGCTGATGCACACGTAGATCCTCGCGCTTCGCTTCCAAGCTAAATAAAGGAAACAACGCCGGAACGGACAAGTTGTGATACATTTCATCGAAGATAAAGGGACAAAAAATGGAGGAGGAAATTTAGGCATCACCAGGTACGCATGCATGAACCGTATAGCATCTACACGGGTGCCAAATGTGATTTGAGAGCAAAAACCGGGTGAATCGGGTATAGTAGCTCGAGAGTACACAAAAACTAGGCTATTCTAAAAGCATTTTCTACCGAACTCAAAAATGTTGTCTAAATACAATGAGAAGGAGTTTCATCTTCTTATACGCATGAACTAATCCTCTGCTGGCATACAATTTTAAGGGCATTTTCTACAATTTAAGTCATTTAAATATTCGATTGTTAATTTTTTGGATGTAATTTTGGATAACGCAATAATCCTTTGTATGCTGAAATGATTTTAGCCGATCTGACTTGATTTAAGAAAACATTTCCTCCCCTTTTATGATCACAAATGGCGGGTAAAATGGAAGATCCAAAAAGGTAAATGCATGTTAAATACTTATTCATTGAAAAGTACCAAATTTTTATCATATTTAGATTGTTATATGTCCAGAGCACATTGTCACAAAAGCATTTAAAAGGTGCGTTAATTAGTGCATTCATGAGCCGCAACCATGTGTCCATTTTTAAAGACGCTAGCAAAAAATGGGAATAACTAAACTATAGGTAACGTGATTGAAAATATACTCATAATCTACAAACATTCCGACATTTCAAGCTTATGCTATCGCAATGTAAAAAAGTTTGGATTATAATAACATGTTTTTCTTTTTAACGTCAGTTCCTCATTTAAAATGTATGTAAACTATATTTCAAGTAGTTAGATCTCTTTCCTTCAACGGATCTTAAAATATATTCTGCACAAGATGTTACTGCCATGTTGGAAGAAGCTGACATTGTCTTGGGAGGCAACATTTACATTACACCTCGGCCGGTGGCCGAGTGGTCTGCACGTTTGCTTTGCAACCATAAGGTCACCGGTTCGAATCCGCGTAGGGGTGGGCGTCCTCGCGGTATACTCAGCCCGCGCGCGACTGGTGGTGGTCGCGCGGCAGCGAAGCGCCATTACGGCGTACAGCTGACACATTATTATTATTTTTCAATGATGAACAAAATTCTGATGAGGATGATATCAATAAACTGATTCAGAATGCTGGATCTCATGATGAGATGTCAGCGAGGCAGTTACTCAGTGATACTGAGGCTAGCTTAGCATTGCCCCATGGAGCAATAATTACAGTCAACTTGGAGAGCAAATCAGTTTCGGTAATAGAAACTCAAAAGGATACCAGGCTAAGACTGAGGAGGATAGAAGACTCAAAGGCACTGATCTAAACTGTGCACCTCATTTGTTAAAAGAGAATCATAGACCGTAGAAATAATTTGAACGCCTCTCTGATAACTGTTATTCAGCAAATGGTAAGGTAGATAATTCGTCCTAATGAATACACGTTAGTAGAAGATAATAAACACACCTCAGCTGATGTGTCGCAAAAGGCAGAAAATGTCGGTCAATATAGAATCGATTTTCGCAGTGAAGTGGTAATGGTCGCTATTATTTTTTCCCTGATGCAGCAATATACAGTGCCTAACATTTGGCACAGAAAATCAGCTGCACATGAGCAAGAGCAGCATGACATGCTTTCTTTCAAAAGATCTATCGTGAAAGTACACTGGCAGGTGTATATAGCAGAGATAAATGTCTCACAAAACCATCTTACATGCAAGAAGAAAAACAAAAAGTTGAAGATAGAAGCAAGAAATTATGCTTCGAACACTACTCGAGATCAATGCCAATTTGCTCAAAGTGACCCTATTCATCCCGATGACAAAAATCGCCTCGTGGTCCCAAACGCGAAATCTACGAAGTCACAGGACAAGCATCGAAACTAGTAGTCGCACACAGGAACGCAGACTTTGATAGCTCAGCTATACCAGTTTTCAGAGGCTATATAATCATCCCGACGTCCGTAAATGCTAGAAAAACCGAACGAAAAACTCGCAACCTGAAGCGCAACTTGTACCCTTTCGCGCGAGAACAACTAGCATCTCTCAATAAGCAAGCACGTGACAATGTGACTTACCGACTGAACTAACGCATATCAGATTGCGACAAAATGTCATCCGTTATCCGTTAGATTCTGGTTCATCACAGCAAGTTGAGACATCTACCTCCCATGTAAGCAACACTAGGCCCTTACTTATGAAATATATATATATATATATATGTATGTATATAACCACAAACTGTGGTACAAATATTGTGCCATCAGAATCATGGCGGAAGAAGAAAACAGGATACGAATAGGAAGAAAAAGAACATGTAGTATTTTCAGTAGTTTTTCACTCAGTTTTTGCGTTTTTTATTGTTTGTTTTATTGGGAAAGGGAAATCATCGCAACACGCAGATATACACGTCAGCCATTGACATCGGTCCAGAGCCCTGACTTCCAGGGTATCCAACCAGCGACACTGTATCTCTGAAACCCCAGCCAGGGAGTCAAGAGCGACCGACCGAAACCAATTGTTTCGTAAGCTTTTTCATGCGGCTTTTCCATGTTGTAGGTTGTCCACCGCACCGTCTCCTCCAGTCCTGTCCAGCAACCGCGAACAACACCCGACATGGAAGACGATGAGCGGGCATGCGCAGTACGTGTCCAAGCCACCGCAGCTGATGCAGCGGGACGAGCTCCTCAAGCGAGTGGCTGCCTCCACCCAAGACACGCTGTCTAACTTCCACAATGGTTACATGGTGCAGTCACCACACACGGGCAATGGACCGCGAACAACTGTGCTCTAAGACAGAGAGACGGCGCAGGTCAACGGTACGAACAGGCCGTCTGGCAACCGTACAACAGTACAGCGCGCAGTCTCACAATATACTTGCCCTTCGATGGATAGACGGATGTCATGGCCGCGCCACAAGTGCCTCAGCTTAGAGAAAGCGAGGCGAGCTCTTGGGATACACATCAAAATCTCGTCTCCAACAGCTCCACCGGCTGTGATACAACTTCCCAGGTAGGCAAAACTCTCCGTAACCTCCAGTGTCTCATCATCAAGAGTGAGTGCAGGAACAGCCATCTGAAGGTCTTGGAAAAGAGCTTTGCACTTGGGTGGGAAAAAACCATCTCATACTTTGACGATTCAATGAACAAGCGGTTGAGTGCAAGTTAGATGGCCTGTGGACCGTCACCCAGCAAGACGATATCATCAGTGTAGTCCAAGTCAACAACTCGGCTACCTAAGAAGGGGTTCAACGAAAATTTCAGAGCATCCTCTAGGACATCCTCAATGGTAAAATTGTAAAGGAATGGGGAGATAGGGCATTCTTGTCGAACTCCACTAATGACAGCGAAGGAAGGCGAAAGCCTGCCATAAGCCCTAACTCTACCCGAGGTCAGACTGTACACATCATGTAATACGGAAAAGAAACGCCCGGGGACAACATTACTCTACGAACAGTGTCACAATGCAGAACTGTCGACAGAATCGACGGCAGCGCGGATATCCAGTAACACGATAATCGTTGGTTTTCGGTACACATAGCGGTGTGAAGATTTGATCTATGCAGCCTGGGCCAGGGCGGAACCCGGCCTGTTCTTCCCGCTGTAGCGATTGGCGCATTGGAGTTAGCCTTTGAAGTATGATGGACACCAGAACCTTACAAACGACGGGAACCAAGTGATACTCCTGTAGTTGGAGCACATTGTGTGCAGGACCTTTTCGAAGACTGAAACGACTATCGACTCAGCCAAAGATGATGGAACCTCTCTTGGCCAGACTTCTGAGAACAAAGCAGCAAGTTCTCGAACCAGCGAATAGTCGCTATCTTTAAATAGAGTGAGGTAAGTCATCAGGGCCCGGTGCTTTATAGCTCTGCAAGAAGCGGAGTTCCTGCCGGATTTCCTGGTGAGGAGGATCTGTGGGGACAGACCACTCAGTACCAGTGAGCGCTTCAGGGGAAGCAGATAGGGCTGGTTGCCAGCAAAACTGCGTGCCAAAGTGTTCAGCCCATCGTTTCAACCGTCGCTAAATATTAGTGATCAGTGGGTCATCTTCTTCGTAGATCGTTTTGCTTACTACAGATCGGAAATCGGTGGCTCGGAAAAGATGGAAAGGTCTTCTGGTATTAGCAGAAAGACTAGTAAGTTCCATCTCTGTAGCATGTTCACACCACTAGGTATCGCGGTCCTTTTGTAGAGTCCTGCGCAATCCTCGATCTAGGGATCGTCGTAGTTCATTACAGCTAGAATCGGCCGGGACCGAGTGGCATCTGTCCATCAGGGACAGCTTTTCGGTGGGTGATGGGTGACTCCACAACTATCAATGCTGGCAGAAACTAAAGCATTTTTGATGCGCATCCACTGTGAATTCAGATCCATATTCAGAAGCTGGGGTAAACAGTGTTGACAAGGAGGCCTAGTATTTGGCTAACGTCGTAGGGTCTTGTAGGTTTTCTACGCTCGGTCGGTAGTGTGTACGCCTAGGCGGTCCTCCGGAACGCATGCATAACTTAGCGCGAACCAATGCGTGATCGGAGTCCCGACAAGTTGACCAGTACGATCGGCAGTCTGTAACGCTTCCGCGCCATCTGTAGCTTATCGCGATGTGGTCAAGTTGGGATCATTCTTGTGTTTGAGAAGGCGGACGCCAGGTAGCAGTCTGTCTCTTCAAATGTCGAAAACTGGTGCTCGAAAGAAACAAGCGATGATCAGAACAAGGGGTCATTAGTCTGTCTCCATTGTCTGATCGACTACTACAGAAGCCAAAACCACTCCCAAAATGGTGATCGCTTGGTGACAGGCGGCCTACTTTTGCATTTAAATCTCTGACAGGAATGACAATAGCAGACTTTTCAGCGGAAGGCAGAAGGTCATGTAGTTGTTGGTGAAAGCTATCTTTGAGTACATCCGGTCTGCAATTTGTAGGAACGTAGGCAGAGACGACAAATAAAGCATGTATAACATCTTGACGTTTACTTAATTTACATGAACCTCGTAATCTGACTGCACATAGCCGACTGTTAACTGGAATCCAGTCAAGCAGAGCGGACTCAGCCTTTTTCACTCAGAGCAACCCCAACACCAGCCTGGCCAGAAGCGGCAACCTTTGGGTCATCGGAAAGGTGCAAACGGCATTTGACGTCGGGGTTTGCAGGAGGCCATTCTGATGACGGTACTGGTCTTGCAATCTAGTGTCTGAGAGGCAACAGATGTCTACCGAGAGCATCTCAAGAGTGCGGGTCAGGCATGTTTTCCGGCCGAGTTGCATTAGAGTGCGAAAATTGAACGCTGCGAGGCTGAATGGAAAATCACGTCGAAGAAAAACTGGGGCTTCGGTGGAGCGTGAAAAGGCTGTGGTCGCCGGGCAATGAACATGAAGAGTTTGACTCTGACTTCCGTCAGGTGTAACCAGTGTGCTGTTGTTGGCGGTGACCGGGGAGAACATAAGTGTAGCTGAATAATGGGAGGTGGGACGATCTGTGAGTGGAGATTCAGCAGTAAGAACAGTAGAGTAAATAGACATAGCAAGAGAGAAAGCAGTAGTATTGTCCATTTATGATTCATCAGTGAGCGCGATACCACGCGGTTGCCCAGGTTAAAGTAGAGGGTTGTCTTAAGGGGTCCTACCCAGAGCCCACAAGGCAGCAGGGCGATATGAGGGCGCCATAACCCATTGGGAGCCGGTGAGCAAACAAGTGATTCATACGCCGTTAGGTTCTGCAAAGGAGCAGAGGCCAAACACACCCTGAAATTACAATGCCACTCAGGGAAATGCAAGAGGCAATAACTTTAATTAATGGCGAGTCACATCCATCACAGCACACTGTTGTTAAGCGGACATACGTGGCATTTTACAGGGAGGACGCTTGCCAAGGCGAAAACCCAGCACGTTTTGGAACACTGCCGCCGAACTATTCGCTGGAGAGGTATACTCCCGAACCACCCAGCTGGCACCGCGAGACTGTTCGGCGAGTTACGACTCGCCGCACCAGTTCCAGAGGTAGAACGCAGATGCACTATATCATCTAGCCAGACTCCAGCAAATTACTGGTATCCAATATCTGGTTGTCTCTTGCCAGCCCCACTACAGTAGATGACAAGCCCTGAAATGACAATGATCACCGTAGAATACCAATCCTTCATTGTCTGATCACGCAACTGCCAACAAACCCCACAATACTACGCATCACATCTACTCTTCCACTGCGTCAGTCAGGCCTTTATCAGCTGCCGCATATAGGAACTTATTCAAATCCACTACTTTGAGAGCGACATCGAAGTCAACTAATACGGAAATAAGTGGGATCAGCAAGTGTCTAGATAGGTGACAATGTTGAACTTGATACCTCTACTGCAGCTCTATACTCAGTCGCTTAAACAGCCGTGAGCTTATCAGCGGACTTTTCATTCCCGTACAATCGACCAAACATAAGATACACTTGATAGGGCCGTTTATCTTTTTACCTGGTCTTCGAGTGGTGCTCGTTGCCAAAACATAGCACTCCTTCAACGTACTTCACAAGCCTCTTTATATCCCCGGTCACTGGACGTTCTGTAATGAGCCTATTACTAGCCGTGGTGGTGGAGCCCTTAGTTATATCAATGAGGATTTCCATGCTGCCACTTCAAGAAGCACGCTCATTGGTAACCCTGAAAATTAAACATGGGTGCAGAGCACTGGAGAACGACTTGACCTTTTAGTTGGTTGCATGTATAACCCACCACACACTACCAAGAAACGTGCTGTGGAACTTGCCAAACTTTTATACCAAGTTTCCGAACTAACGCCTAATCACAAAATAGTAAGTAGTGACTTTAATATGCCGCACGTCAAATGGGACTCTCCGGCATTACCACAAATATATATATATGACTCCTCTGGACACTATTACGGCATGCATGAGCCCTCACTAGACAAGACAATATTCTCGACTTATTTTTCACAACCGGCATCTCCCGCGAATTCGTGAGTGTGCCAGACAACGTCCAAGTTAGTGACCACACGGTAATGTAGCTCTCTTTTGAGCTAACTAGATGAAAGAAATGAGCTGTGAGACCAGTGCCCACATATCGACCTATTCAGCTTATCAACTGGGACAGTTTCTCCAAGCTCTTCAGATCTATGGACTGGGACAGATTCTTCCTGCTAAATAATATCGACGTAGTAGCATACGAAAAGTAGAACAATGTTGAATTCTGCCTGGACTTACTCGCACCCAAGCAATGTAAATCGAGCTCACAACTAACCTCAGTTATTCCAAAAACAGTGTTTTCCAAGCTCAAAGAAATGCAGTTCAAATATAATAAAACGGATGAGTTTCATCTTCTTATTCGGGTTAACGAACCAGTGCTGCAGTGGAGAAACAGCCTTCGGCGAAGTCAGCACAAGAGCGAATCGCGCTTACAGGTGAAAATACATTGAGAGTACTTACTAATCTGCTGAAACGCAGAGGCACTCATGATGTGATACCCATTAGAGCATTAGTGCAACCGGATAAAACAATAGTTACTGACCAAGTAGACCTATGTGAGATATTAAACAGGCATTTTCGCAACTCCTTCATAGATCTTAATATGATAGCCTCAGCTCACGCACCTAGATTCACAGGAGATAAGCTTCCCAACATTGTCACTGATTTGCGTACGATCGCTAGGGTGATCCGTTCGCTCAAGTTGTCCTTCTACCCTGGCTCCGATGGCTGACCTACTGCAGTGGCCTTGACATCGCACTCATACTCCTGACCAAGTTCACACTAGTACTGAGAAACAACACCTTTCCTGTCGAGCGGAAACATGCAGCTGTTCTACCAAGACACACAAGTGACTGCTGCCAGAAAATTGAGAACTACCGTCCAATTAACGATGCTGAGGGTCATTTTGAAGTACATGTTGTGTGAATGGATTGCAACGCGCAATCTCAATGTTGGCCGCGATTCCCATTGAAGTGAACCTTGGTTTTTCGATCACGAGGACCGAAGCTGATGTAAATAGAGATCAAAAATTATAAAACACTGCAGCGTTTTTTGGCGTAAAACACCTAATTTCTATATGTACCGTCCAATTAGCCACACGCCTATCATGTCACGAGTAATGGGGGATAGTCAAGAAACGAATTGCTGAACTGATGTTACGTGACTCAAATAAGTAGTCCTAACAAGAGTTCTTACCGGCTAAATCCTGTCAAACGTGTGAATTTGTATTTTTAGATCATGTAACCCAAAAAATACTTTCAGGCCATACACTTGCCATTGCCTTTCTCGACATGAAAAATGCTTCCGACCGAGTCCCGCATGCTAGTCTATTGACCAGGCTTCAGCCGTTTGGCATATCGCATAAGCTCCTGCCATGATTCGCATCATATGTGACAGGGCGTACACATATAGTACGGCTGGGTAGAGCGGAATCAAAGTATGGGGCAGCAAGTAGCGGCGTTTTTCAGAGGATGTTCTAGACCAACTACTATTCATTCTGTACGTCAACGACGTATCTAATGGTTTCGCGAACGGAAGGCCATTTCTCTTTGCAGATGAAATTGAAGTTGTCTTCTCTTTTGATAACAACGGTATAAAACCTCATGTTCATAGAGATCTTAAAACGTTAGACAGTTATCGCGACCTATGGAATATGGAATTTTCGCCGGCAAAATGCAACACCACCTCGTATTGGTACACTATACCGACCAATGCATTGAAAATAAATGGATCACCACTTTTCAATAGCAGTACTATACGTGATCTAGGAGCATACCACTCCAATTCACTGGACTTTGCTGAGCATGCAGGTTATAGCGCAGCTAAGGCCAGATTAATTATCGGCTACATATACAAATCTATAATGCTTGCCTTGTGTAGATCCTGAGGCCGATCGATTCTAGATTATCTATCCTTGGTGTTCACGAACTCGCGCAAAAGCGATAGAAGACCAATGGAGAAGGTGGAACGTTAGTTTATTGACGGTTTCATGAAGGCATTCATACTTAACTATTCCGATAGATACAAACAGCTCCAGTTGGGTCCACTGTGGTTTCGCACGCTCGAAGTTAACCTCATATTTTTATTCCGGATGTTGAACAAGTCAAATGGGAATATCAATTGCTTTGCTAGACAGAACACTGATGAGCGATATCCACTAGGAACCGGACTGTACTCCATTATCTTATCAAAAGCTCGCACCAGCATCCAGTTGCTTCCTTTAGAGATGCGCGTTCGTATGGAAGTCGACCGATGGCGACTATAACCGTTGCAGCATTTCACACGTTCCTACGCTGATTTCTCAATACAATGCCTGTAAA